CTTGGAACTTCACTGCAGCCTAAGATTCTTCCTCCCCAAACTTCCTTCCTCCCCTCTCTCCTCCACAGGGATCAGACCCATATCAAAGTCTGTCATCTCTGTGGATCTCCTCTGGATCTTTCCTGATTTCCTTCGCAGGCATTTTCCCCAACAAATTTCTTGCACATCTCATCCCCTCTTGGTGTCTCCTCCTTGGAGGACCTGAACCAATAATGCACACTATTACTCTTTCCATTTCACAGATGAGGACACTGAGGCCCAGAGAGGGTAAGCCATGAGCCCAAGGTCACATGGCTAGAGAATATTGGAGACTATTGACAATGGGATTCAAACCCAGGCAGTCTGGATGCTCTTAACCCTATCCATGGAAACACACACTTGCTGCCACAAAGCAAGGCACACTCCCACTGAGGTGCTAGACATTTCTGTACCCAGCACAATTCCAGTTGCTTTATATGTGATATCTCATTTGAGCCTCATGCCAGCTCTTAGAGATAAATAGAATTACTGTCTCCATTTTACCAGTAAAGAAACTGAGCAAGAGGCTAAATAACTTACTTTTAGTCCGCAGCTAGATTTTCCCAGAGATGGGAGTTGAGCCCCATGTCTCACACAATAGTGGCCCTGAGAATGTGCCTGGCAGACCTCCAGCTACAGGGAGCTTACCTGACCAAAACCCAGATGCCTCACTTGGAAGTCCTTGCCACATTTGTGCCAAGGCTGTGCTCCCAGCCGATGACCAGGTGCGGCAGGGATACTAAGGCAGGCTCACTCCCAGGAGACATGGCTCCTCGAAGTCCTTACTGAACCTGCATCTAGGATGCTTCCCTCCAACTTCCCTCCCTCCTCCCCTCACCTGGGGTTCCATACAGGCACTTCCCCTCATTAAACCCTCATCTGTTTCGTCCTGTCTTGGCATCTTCTCAGAGGATCCGGACTAACACAGATAAAGTCTCTTTTATTCCCTGTGATTGAGGTGACTGGAATAACACCCAAATCTAAGGACTTTTCTTTGAGCATTTCCAGAATAAATCTGGAAAAAACCAGATTGCCTCTCTGGTGGTGTGGCTCTGAGCTGCTGGAGGGGTGTGTGGCTGACTCCAGGGGGCTACTGCAACCATGCTCTCCGCTCCTCCCCCTCAGGGAGGACAGAGACAAAGCCTCATCTGTGGGCAAGTGACCAGTCTGCCTGAGTCTCCACCTCACACTCTAGCCAGTTCTTGGCATCTATTTCACTGTTTCCTTGGGCAGTTTCCTTTCCCTTTCTGGGTTTCATTGTACAATGACCCTGGGGAAGGTCTCTGGTTCTCTCCTTCCAAGGATCTGGGACTCCCTCTGGGGCCCATGTGTGGTCCGGAGGCATTGACTCACAGCTTGACGAATGGGTCCGAGTAGCCATTGGCATCCATGGCGGCCAAGTGCACACAGCGTATAATGCCCACGATGAGGCCCCCCTGCTGTGTGCTGTACATGAGGGACACTAGGATCTTGCCACGCTCTTCCGTGTCACCAATCCGTTCCACCTGCTGCATGGGGTAGGGGGAAGGCAGTGTGGGCCAAGGAGAGGAGGGGGCTGGGCAATATGATGGCAAGCATGAGGGAAGAACCCGGGGGGGGGGCTCGGTCAGCACTAGCAAAGTCAGCCTCATGGACAGCAGGTGGCCCAGCCATCAAGGGGACAGTCTGAGGCACACGGGGCCAGCAGCTTTTCTCTGACTTAGACACAGACTGAGCTCTGACTTTGAGCATAGGTTGAGCTTGCTCCTGGTCAATGACTGGCCCTGACTTTGACCCAGGGCTAACCCTGACCCGGGCCCTGACCAGATCCTGACTCTGATCTCAGATTCCCCTGACCCCGCCAGTCTTTTCACAGTGCAGTTCCTGAGGTCATACAAGGAAACTGGGCAGGGGACATGGAGGTTTAGTTCAATCTCTGCCAGACACATGGCTCAGAGAGCCCCTCCATCCCCACAGAGGGAGCAGACCACTGCTCTAGCCCATAGGACTGTCAGCAGAGTTCTGTCAACAGGGCTGAGGAATGCATGGGCATCCTGGTATGAGGCGGGGCTGCCCCCACATCAGAGGCTTCAGGGGTGAGGAGGGTCCCCCAGTCTCATGTTTTAACACCCTGGGCCAAGGGTAGTTCTCACGGTGAACCAACAGGCAGGTGGTTGCGGGAGAAAGAGCGAGGAAGGGGCCAGGGAAGGAGAGAAGGGGAAGATGCCAGCCCAGCCCAGCGCAGACCCTACTGTGGCTTCGATCGCATTTAGTGCTCACCTCCTCCTCATAAAGCGCCATGCCTCGGGCTGACCCGGTGGTCCCGGCACGCTTCATCTTAAAAGAAGGAAACAGAAACAAATGATAACATTGTTTAGGGGGCTCATCTCACTACACAGAAAGGACCAGAAGCCCCTCAAACATCCATTAGCATCCAGAGCCATGAGGGTGGGCTCTCCAAGCTACTGAGGCCCTCCTGCATTCTCCCTTCTAGCTAAAATTTATATAATGTAACCACACGGCAGACCAACTTAATGCACAACGACCTATGATGTAGGTTCTATTACAATTCCCATTTTACAGATGAGGCCACTGAGGGTCAGAGTGGTTAAGCTACTTGCCCAAGGTCACACAGACAATAAGTGTCAGAGCACCCCACGCATAAAACAGATAAGCTTTCATCTGCTCCGGTTGAAGTGGCACAGTGGTCTTGGGGTCTGGCCACCAGCGGCTTCTTCCTCTCATGTTTCCTAAGGTCCTTCTGCTGAACTCTAGGCTCTGGGAGACACAGTTTGAAAACCATTGGTTAAATCCAACCTCCCCACTTTAGAGATAAGGAAAACTGAGGTCCAAAGGGAAGGGGACAGCATTTACTAGGTTCCTGTCCTCCGTGGGACATAGTTGGGGGGCGGGGGGTGGTGGTGGAAGGGTTAAGGGTGAAGAGCAGAAGAAGATGACCAGCAGTGTTCTGTGGCCACTGCAGCCCCTGCCTCTCCCCCAGCTGTATCTGCCATAGCAAGATAGCAAGATGGGTGAACCCAGCGGCTGACGATCCAGGCAGGGGCCTGACCATTTTCTGGATCAACTGGACTCATCGAGTGAGGGAAGGAGGAAGCCTGGAGAACCAGCTGTTACCAAGTAAAGACCTGGAGGAAATGCCTTACTCCTAGGGCTGTCTTTAAGGATTTATTTGGAGCCTGGCATTCGGCAAAAATTCTTCTGGATCAACTGGACTCATCGAGTGAGGGAAGGAGGAAGCCTGGAGAACCAGCTGTTACCAGGTAAAGACCTGGAGGAAATGCCTTACTCCTAGGGCTGTCTTTAAGGATTTATTTGGAGCCTGGCATTTGGCAAAAATTCTTCCTTGCAATTTTCCTTGTTGTGTCTTTTCTTTTTTTTTTTTTTTTTTGCCTGAGTGATAAAAATATGGCATGGCACACAGAGATTTCATCCTCGGGCTGGCCATCTGGTGGGAGGATGCTGCAGGATTTCCCCTCCTGTCCTCACAGCTTCCCCATGGGGAGCTGGCCTGTTGCCCAGGGGGACCAGGAGCACTGGTGCTTGTGGGAGAACTGGGCTCTGGCTGGTGCCCAGAGAGCACAGCCACTGCCTCCTGGTGTGACCTTGGCAACTCATTCTCCCCTCTGAGCTCAAGGTGGCCCACATGTACAGCAAGGGCAGGTTGGATTATCTCTAAAAATATAAATTGCTGGGCCCCACCCTACTCCACTAAGTCAGCGTCTCCGGGGGAGACTTCCACAAATCCTAGCTTGTAAAGCTCTGGTTTAAAAATTCCCCAGTTAATTCTGAGGTGTGGCCCAATTGGAAAACTTCAATTTAATCCTCACTCTTTCTCAAAGGACAAGTACCACATTCTAACAACATCAATAACAACAGTTCTAATGCTTTTTATGTATCATCACATTTAATCCTTAAAAGATTCTGTGAAGTTGGAACTACATTATTGCATTTTACAGATGAGAACACTGAGGCACAGAGAAGTTAAATAATTTGCCTCAGCTTATACCATAAGTGGCAGAGCCAGGATTCGAACCTGGGGAGTCTGGCTCCAGAGCCCACACTCTTAAGCACTATGCTATGCTGCCTCCTATTTGTTGGCAGGGTGCTTTATGTCTTCATGACTGACAGGTGGGTAAGGCAATATCATTTCCTATATTAACAATTGTTAATTTATGAGTACTTATTACATAATAGGTTCTTCTGATTTTGGCTTTTTCTTTTCTTTCCTTTTTTCTTTTTTAAACACAACCCTCCCATGAAGCAGATACTGTTATAACACCCATTTTACAGACAAGAAAACTGAGGCTCAGAGTACTTCAGTCTCTTGGCCAAAGCCATAGAGCAGAAAGTGGCAGAGCTGGACTTTGAACCCAGGCAGACCACTCCACCATACCACACTGCCTTCCCAGTTTTACCAAGGAGGAGTCTGACATTTGGGGAAAAGATGCTAACACAGGGTTGGTAAAAGACAGAGAAAGGATGCAACCCTGATGTTCTGAGCTGAAACTTCACTCTTGCCTCAAAAGCTGCTGCAGCCCCTCTGCTGCCCAGTACCCTGTGGATCTATTTCTCCAGTGCAGACCCAGAGGAGGGCAGCATCCCCCACTTTCCCTCCCCCCATTGAATCCTGGGCGCAAAGGCACTCACGGGGATCACTCGCTCCAAACAGATATTGAAATTCTTCCTCTGGTTGGGCTTCAGTTTCTTGAGCGAGAATCTGGTCTCACCAATAAACTCATTATGGCCAAATTTGTCCTCATCACAGACAGAGATCCTGCCATTGACACAGGGGTGGGGAGAGGAAGGAGGAACAAATATTGAATTCCTACTATTTGCCAAGAGCTGTGGTTGATGCTGGTAAGGAATGTACAATGTGCATAGGAATAATAAAATTCCCTGTTTATTGATCACTGGGTCAAGTTCTTTTTATTTCTTTATTGCAGTGTGAAGGTACTTCAAAAAGTTTATGGAAAAATAGAATTAGGAGATAATGCAAAATTTTCCATGAACTTTTCAAAGTACCCTTGTATAACTTTATGCAGTAAAGTATAAAAATATGAAGCATATAGCTTCACGAATGTTTGCATATGTATACAGTAGAGTAATCAAGATAGAGAACATGTCATTGCCCGGAAGACCCCCAGGATCCTTTCTAGTCATTATCTGCCTCAAATATATCCACTCTCTTAGCCTCTGGTTGAATGGAATAATTTGTCCTGTTTTTGACCTTCATAAATGTTTGCATATGTATACAGTAGAGTAATCAAGATAGAGAACATGTCATTGCCCGGAAGACACTCAGGATCCTTTCTAGTCATTATCTGCCTCAAATATATCCACTCTCTTAGCCTCTGGTTGAATGGAATAATTTGTCCTGTTTTTGGCCTTCATGTAAGTGAGATCACGTAGTATGCGCTCTTCTGTGTTTGGCTTGTTTTGCTCAACATTATGTCTGCGAGACTGCCTTGGGTTGAATGTCCCCCCAAAACTTAGTCCCCGCTGTGACAGTGTAAGAGGGTGAGAAATCCTATTCTGGTAACTGAAAGATGAATTAAGGGCCTTGAAGAGGTGATTAGATTGTAAAACCACGCAGTAGTGAATGGATTAATAGTAGTGGTCAGGGGCGTGGTACTGAGGGCTTTAAAAGGAGAGTGACTGAGGAGATTCATCTCTTGCTCTCTCTGCTGTGCCGTCTTCTACCATGTGAGACCCCTGTGTTGCTGTAAAGCCACCGCCAAAGAAAGCCCTCACCGTAAGTGTTCCCTGGACTTTGGATTTCCCTGCCTCTGAAACTGTAAGCAATAAATTTCATTTTCTTACAAATTACCCATTTTCAAGTATTTTGTTATAAGCAACAGAAATGGACTCATACAGAGATTCATCCGTGTATATAGTAATTCATCCTTATTGCTGTGTACTATCCCATTATGTAAATATACCATAGTAGTTCTGCTGTTGATGGACATTTGGGCTGCCTTTAGTTTTGAGTTATTATGAATAAAGCAGCTGTGGAACATTCACATTCATGTCTTTTGGTGTACACATGTACATATTTCTATTGGGGATTTTCCTAGGAGTGGAACTGCTAGGCCATGAACTAGGCATAAGTCTGGTTTCAGTAGAACTTCCGAACAGTTTTCCAAAGTGATTGCATCAATCATACTCTCACCAGCAGTTTATGAAGATTGTGGTCACTCTTCATTCTTTCCAACTTTGATTTTTATCAGCATTTAATTTAAGCGTGTCTGGATGGGACATCCTAAGTCATTGCAGTTTTAGTTCACATTCGTAGCCCTGATGATTAGTAAAGTTGAGCTCCCTTTTCATAGACTTTATGGCCATTTGAGTATCTTCTTTTGAAAAGCAAGGCTAGGAACTCAGCTAACCTTTTCTCGTTTAATTTTCCATTCCCACAAACATATGAGTTTTCCACTTTAGAGAGGAGACCAGGGCCCAGAGAGGCTGAATAATGTTTCATTAATGAGAGGCAGAACCAGGATTTGAATCCAGATCTCCCTGAACCCTAAACACCGTATTATCTTTTGTTATCCACTCTGCATAGCACTGAGTAGGACTGAGGCACACAAAGATCAGGAGAAAGATCCCTTAGGAGATCAAAAGGATGGGTCGAGGAATGATGATTCATTCTGATGTATTCAGAGAGGAAGAAAGGACTTGTCCTCCCAAAGCATGGAAGCCATTCTGTGGGGACAGGCACGAACTATAAGTCACCTCCATCCACGGTCACCACCATTGGCTGAACAATGTTCAAAGTCCTGGAGGGCCCAAACACCCTCATGACTGAGTCCCAAATGTGCAAGTCTAGAGGAAGAAGCTGTCTCTACTCAGCTGGTTGGGGTGTAACTGACACCTGCCTTCTGCAGGGCAGGTGTCTTCAAAGAGTTAAGAATAATCATTGTTTTTGACCCTGTAGTGCAACTTCTAGGAATTTATTTCAAAAATATAATAAGTTAAGTACAATATTTATCTACAAAGATGTTTATTGCAGTATTGTTTATAATTGTGAAAAAGCAGAAATAATATAAGTATTCTATGATGGCGGGACTACTTAAGAAAATTAGGAAGTAACCATCAAAATGTAATAGTATACATTAAAAATAATGTTGCACTTAGTCATCAGGGAGATGCAAAATCACAATGCAACACCAATATGTGCCCACCAGAATGGCAAAAATGAAAAAGCGCTGATGAGGCGGAAGAGCAACTGGAACTCTCGTAATGGCTGATGGGAGTGTATGTTAGCAGGGAAAACCAGCAGTTCCTATAAAGCTGAATATACACTCAGCCATTATACTCCTAGGTGTATATGCCACAGATATAGATACACTTGTGCACCTAGAAACAGCTACTAGAATGTTCCTAGCAGTACTATTGGTAATAGCCCCAAACTGAAAAGCACCCAAATACATCAATAGTAAAATGGATAAGCAAAATTGTGTTATACAGACAGTTCCTGACTTATGATGGTTTGGCTTAATGATTTTTCAATAGATGACATGTTTATCAGGACATAACCCCATCGTAAGTTGAAGAGCATCTTATTCACATAATGGAATACTAAATAATAACAAGAAGGAATGATCTACAGCTACACACAACAACTTGGATGAATAACACAAACATATGCTAAGTAAAAGAAGATAGACACAAAAGAGCCACACTGTATGACTTAGATTATATAAAGTACGAAAACAGACAAAATTAATTTGTCTTAACTAGGGGAGGCCCTCGCTGGAAAGGGCCACCATGGGGGGCTTCAGTGGTCTGGTAATATTCCGATCCTTGATCCCAGTATGTTCACTTTGTGAAAAATTCATCAATCTGCACAATTGTTACATGTGCACTTTTCTAAATGGATTTACATTGCAATAAAAACGTTTACTTAAATATTACTTAAAATAATATTGGAGCTGGTGGGAATGTACTTGGAACAGCCAATTTGGAAAGCAGTTTGCATGTCTTGTAAAATTTTTTTGAAAAACACTACCTATCCTATGATTCAGCAATATTTCTCCTTGGTTTGTAGCCTAAGGAAACACTTACATGTACACAAGGAAGAATGAAGCATGCTCATTGCAACGTGGTAATAGAGAAAAGCTGCAAACAATCTAAATGCCAATCCATAGGGAACTGGCTAAATAAACTTGTAAACATTTACATAAAATTTAAAAGCATGCAAACAATGCCATATATCGTTTAAAGATACATAATTATGAAGTAAAAGACATGCTTGGGAATGATACACAAAGAATACAAAGATAGCGTTTAGCCCTGGGCAGGGAAGGAAGACAACAAGACTGGGGATAGAGTATACAAGAGGAGCTTCAACTTGCATCTGCAGTGCTTTATTTCTTAAAAAAAAAAAGAGCTGAAGGAAATACAGCAAAGTAGTAAGATTTTTAAAAGACTGAATATTGGGTTCATGGATGTTTGATAGTATTCTACACTTTTCTGTATATTTTTAATATTTAGTAATAAAAACATTTTNAAAAAAAAAGAGCTGAAGGAAATACAGCAAAGTAGTAAGATTTTTAAAAGACTGAATATTGGGTTCATGGATGTTTGATAGTATTCTACACTTTTCTGTATATTTTTAATATTTAGTAATAAAAACATTTTTAAAATCTGTGAGAAATCCATTCTGTGGAATTCTCTGAAGCAGTTAAAAATTAGGTAGATCTAAGTGTCTTTTCATGGCTATAATTCTTTTCATGGCTTAACATATATTGTTAAGAAAAATAGGCAAGTTCCAGATCTATGCAGCATGATCTATGCATACGTATTTACATGTTCTATATGGAGATGCACACACTCACAGAAAGAGGAGGGAGACCCAGGATGGGGAAAGGGACCAATGTTTAAAAGGATATTTGTTTTCTCTAAGAATGTATTTATTACTTATATAGTTGAAAATGCAGTTTAATACAGCATTGTAGAAGAATACAGGATGACATCAATATATTGTTAAGTAAGATGGGCATATTACTTAATAGGATGATCCATTTTAATAAACATTTTTATAAGCACTCAATTTTATAAAAAACTTTTGCACAAACACACATTCACACCCCTGAATGTCCACACACACACACACACACACACACACATATGTCTAGACATCAGGATGTCCAGACATCAGGATGTTAAGTTAGTTTCATTTATCTATATTTTCAAGTTTCTACCAGAAATATATATTGCTTTTGTAAAAGTGAAAGAAAAAAACAAACAAACACAGCTCTTTTTATAGGGTGGGCCCCTGGGAGCTGTGCCCTGAGTTCTTCCCAGCCTCAGACCCCTCTCTCACCTCCCTCCCTGCCCACCGCCCACTCGGAAGGCACCTGAGAGTCTTCCTTTGCATGTCCTCGTCGGTGATGCCGTGATAGACTAGAGTCTCATTCCAGATGGGGTTCCGCGTGTTCCGTAGAGTTTTTGTGCGAAGCTTGTTGGACTGCAGCCCCAGAGAGATGGACAGACAGATACCTGTCTCAGTGGGAAGCCAGCCCTGGGGCCCCATCCTTTGGGCTGATTTTGGGGGGTGGCTTTCCCTGTAGGAGTGTCCAGGAGCTTAACTGTTTCCAAATGCATGTTCTTAGGGACTGAGAGTTCTCTAGGGTGATGGCTACAGACAAAGGGATTCATGCTTGACACTGGGTCCCCCTCTCCTGCCATACACTGGGTCCCCTTCTCCTGCCATACACTGGGTCCCCCTCTCCTGCCATTCACTGGGCTCTCTCTTTGAACTTTCCCTTAAGAGACATTTTTTCTTTGAAAAAAATAATCATTTATAAGC